GGAGTCAGGCACAGGAGGGTAATCACCGAATACAGAGTTTATTCCGTCTTTACACACAAATGCGCTGGAATAGCGACAAACGAAAGAGGCATAGGGGAAACTATCATCCCTGGCAATACACTGTAACGGTAGATCCAACAATACATAGGCACAGGGGAAATATCTACCCTGGCAACAAAATGGTACGAGTAGCTCCACCGAGCTACACTACTCTCACAATAAACAATCAACCACAAGGACAAGGGGGCAGAGGGAACACTTATACACGGACTAACGAGGGGATAAGAACCAGGTGTGTGTAATGACAAGACAAGACAAATGGAATGATGAATATAGAAGCGGCAGTGGTTAGTAAGCCGGTGACGACGAGCGCCGAAGCCTGCCCGAACAAGGAGGGGAGCCAGCCTCGGCGGAAGTCGTGACAGATGGTCAGGGACACACAAAGGATAATATGGCTGGTGACAACATAGACTACATAGGCTGTGTTTACATAACACTCCAGTAGAGAGGAAAACCATGGAATCCCTTGCAGTTATAGACAGTGTTTGATATGTAAATGTTCAGTCAGTAGACCCCCAGTTGTGAAGGGGAAGAAGCCAATTTTTTATTTCATTGTAATGAAATATTAGTTTTGTGCTGATAATATCAGGATTAGTGAATGTGCAACACATTATTTTTATGAATTGTTTGCCCAGAAAATGTATTAAGTCCATCTGTGATGGTATGATTATGCATAAATTGTTTAGCTTATATCTCTTGACGTATTGTGTGTTAAAACATAGATTTGTGTAGCATAGAATGTAAATCTGGGTTGCTGTTGAGTTTTTATCACACAACTGCCTGGTAAAATACTACATTATACTGTAATGTTGTTCCGCCACACAAATTAGCAGTGATTTGTATTTTTGCCTGCAAATTTACAGTAAATGTACAATTAATTCAAGCCATGTAGTAAAATAGCCTTCCAGTCTCTGTATCATTCAATAGCTTTGAGGTTGATAATATGCTGTTTTGTCATGGCAACGGTTGAGATGTTTGTTTGAGACCTCAGTAAAATCTTTGTCATTGAGGCTCACTGAAGGTAATGATGTAAGGAAAGGATGTAAGTGCTCTTGCTATGAATGAGGATACTCAGCTGCATATGGAGAGTAAAATCTGCTGTTTTTGCACCTGCTCTACACACTTACCTCACTTAAAATATTCATGTTGTTATTATTACAGTACAATAACTTGATGGATACGTTTGAGAACCTGAAGTTTCAAGAATAGGAGGGAGGGTTGAGGAACTGATCCTCTTGAATTATTAAAGACATTTTCATTCTCATTTGAATCACAAATATTTTGTGTACTCTGACTGTTATGGTGAGTGAAAGCCTTGGACTATGGGCTAGTGTACAGCCGGCTGGTTGGTCGCCCCTCCTGACCCTGTGCTGTTGGGCCAGACTATAACTAGCTTTCCTTCTGTCCTGGGTATAAATAAACACTTCTAATCCCTACACACACACACAAGCACACAGACACACACAGCCGTGCCGTGCAGTGGCCCACCACTAGAATATGCAGCAATTTCCCTGTAAATCTTGTGTCATTATCCTGTGAAATCTGTTAAGACTCGTTTAAGCTGCCGGATTTGAGAAGTGAGAGTTGTGTTGACGGGAACCAAGAGTCTGACACCATGTCCCTTTTTAAACCGAGCCCTCCTGTGTGTGTGTCACCTACTGAGATAGCTACTGGACGTATGCGGCATTACGGAACTCGGTGTAGCAAATTCTGCTGCTGAAATCTGTTTGAATATGAAAGTATGCATGAAGAAAGGTCATGGTTTACAGAGTGCACATCATTTTGTTTGCTTTGGATGTGTGTCTGGATTCCTTTGGTTTTAATGCTTTTAACAGAAAGTGAGAGAGAGAGAGAGAGAGAGAGAGAGAGAGAGAGAGAGAGAGAGAGAGAGAGAGAGAGAGAGAGAGAGAGAGAGAGAGAGAGAGAGAGAGAGAGAGAGAGAGAGAGAGAGAGAGAGAAAAGAAGAAGAAGAGAATGGTCACATGTTAGTTACACATGATAGCTGATGTTATATTCCAACCCCAGGTAGTCAACGGTCCAGAGATGCTCATCATTATTACTGATTCACAACCGTGTCGTACATCTTATCTGACAGATTAGTTACATCTGAATCCACAGTTCCAGAGGGAGAGAGAGAGAGAGAGAGAGAGAGAGAGAGAGAGAGAGAGAGAGAGAGAGAGAGAGAGAGAGAGAGAGAGAGATATGATTCATGTTATAGGTGGCCTATTTGATCAACTTATAGCACAAAAGCAAGATACTTTACCATTAATTGACCAATATGATGTTGTTAAATTTGGAACAGGATTAAACTAGCACTCACTTCTAACAATATATCAGAGGCCCATCCCAAGACCTTAGGAGTTAAAAACTGTTGACTTTGACTATAGGCTATTTGTTTGTATTGACCGCTCCCACATCCTCCCAAGTTACCTTCAGTTGGTCATGTGGCTATAGAGAGAGGATGCAAACACTTCCTACCTAATGATGAGAATCACACCCCCTCTTCCTCTCTGTGGTGGAACAGAACAGGCCACACACACAGAAGCATTCTCTCTCTGTGTTAGTCAGTTCCAGCCACAAGACTACGTTATCTCTCTCTTCCACTCCCACAATACAGTATAATACAGCCACAGCAGCACATGCAGTCAGCAACGCACAGTCAGCAACACACAGTCAGCAACACACAGTCAGCAACGCACAGTCAGCAACGCACAGTCAGCAACACACAGTCAGCAACGCACAGTCAGCAACGCACAGTCAGCAACACACAGTCAGCAACGCACAGTCAGCAACACACAGTCAGCAACACACAGTCAGCAACACACAGTCAGCAACACACAGTCAGCAACGCACAGTCAGCAACACACAGTCAGCAACACACAGTCAGCAACACACAGTCAGCAACACACAGTCAGCAACACACAGTCAGCAACGCACAGTCAGCAACGCACAGTCAGCAACACACAGTCAGCAACACACAGTCAGCAACACACAGTCAGCAACACACAGTCAGCAACACACAGTCAGCAACACACAGTCAGCAACACACAGTTGCTCGCTGACGTCATGTGAGTATGAACTCCTGGCAAAGTGAAGGGAAAAAAACAGTAAATCAATGGAGCGGCAGTTTCAGAGAAACCTTGTGTAAAGTCTTCATCAGAGACTTTGTTGCTTTTCTTTCAAGTAGTGTCTTTGTCCTATTCATGTTCCAGGACTACCTGGAAAACAGTGAGATGTTGCTGGGTGGACTATCTTGGTTAGATAAAGATAAACTGAACTGATCTTTTCAGAACTTTTTAGAATTCACACATTTATTAGCTAATTATTAGCTATTAGTCTCCCACCTCTAAAAAAGGCATAACTGCAGCCCTATAGCCCAGGATACAGACTGTGTGTCTGTGTGTTTGTTTGTATCCCAGGCCTCCAGCCAGGCCTGCTCTGGGTCTGTAGTCTGTACTCTGTGACAGGAGCCCAGCAGGTGTGGCTGGTTACTGGTTAATGCTAAACCCTGTCTAAGGGGTCAGAGGGTAACTGGGAGGTATTTTTGTGAGGAATTTACAGTCTGAGATGTACACATTGAGGTAGACTCACACACTCAATCACTCTATTAATACCCCTCTGACTCCTGACTCCTGACACCCTGGCAGACACTACCCTGGCCCTTTTTCATGGCAACACACCCACTCTCTCACTAGTTTATTTGGAATGTGGATATATGATGACGATATGTATACTGAACAAAAATATCAACGCAACATGTAAAGTGTTGGTCCCATGTTTCATGAGCTGAAATTAAAGTTGTGCACAAATGTGTTTACATCCCTGTTAGTGAGCATTTCTCCTTTGCCAAAATAATCCATCCACCTGACAGGTGTGGCGTATCGAGAAGCTGACTAAACAGCATGATCATTACACAGGTGCACCTTGTGCTGGGGACAATAAAAGGCCACTCTAAAATGTGCAGTTTTGTCACACAACACAATGCCACAGATGTCTCAAGTTTTGAGGGAGCGTGCAATTGGCATGCTGACTGCAGGAATGTCCACCAGAGCTGTTGCTAGAGAATTTAATGTTCATTTCTCTACCATAAGCCGCCTCCAACGTCGTTTTAGAGAATTTGCAGTACGTCCAACCGGCCTCACAACCCATGATCACGTGTAGCCACGCCAGCCCAGGACCTCCACATCCAACTTCTTCACCTGTGGGATTGTCTGAGACCAGCCACCCAGAGAGCTGATGAAACTGTATTTCTGTCTGTAATAAAGCCCTTTTTATTGGCTGGGCCTGGCTCCCCAGTGGGAGCCTGGGAGGGCATAGCCCCACCCACTTGAGAGCCAGGCCCACCCATGGCTGCACCCCTGCCCAGTCATGTGAAATCCATAGATTAGGGCCTAATTTATTTATTTCAATTGACTGATTTCCTTATATGAAATGTAACTTAGTAAAATCGTTGAAATATTTTTGTTCAGTATATATTGTGCGCAAGATAAATACAAATTCAATGTATTTCCCCAATGCCCAGACTTGTCACACATACACACCAGCACAGTGCACACGCTGTTGAGCTGTGTGGTTGTCCATGTCATGTTTCTGCACCATTATCATGTTGTTATGCTTAGTCAGCGCCAGTAGATCACTTATGGAGGATGAGGCTCAACATCTATCCTCATTCAATGGACTGTCAACAGTAACATGGGTTAAAAAGTGTAAATTCAACTTATTAAGCATCGCTTGCGGAATGCTTCAGCTGTGCAGAGCAGGGCAGGCTAGTAGAGATGATTCCTGGGTGTTAGGCTAACAGCTGTGTGCCCAATGTTCACTCATTCTCTCTCTCTTTCTATTTCTCTCTCTCTCTCTCTCTCCCTCTCTCTTTGTGTGTATGTGTTTGCATGTGTGTGTTGCACATGTGTGCGTGTGTGTTTGTCTGTCCGTTCCACAGGGTTGTCAAAGAGGAAATTTCCGACGACAACGCCAAGTTACCCTGCTTCAACGGGAGAGTGGTGTCCTGGGTAAGTGAGATGGATGGCGCCCCCACGTCGTTTCCCCCCATCCCGTAGCCCCCCCCCCCTCCCCATTGCTCTCCTCTCTACCGCTCGCTGGCTCAGCGTGTAGATACACATACAGTTGAAGTAGGAAGTTTACATACACTTAGGTTGGAGTCATTAAAACTTGTTTTTGAACCACTCCACAAATTTCTTGTTAACAAACTATAGTTTTGGCAAGTCGGTTAGGACATCTAAAGTGAGGGAAAAAAGTATTTGATCCCCTGCTGATTTTGTACGTTTGCCCACTGACAAAGAAATGATCAGTCTATAATTTTAGTGGCAGGTTTATTTGAACAGTGAGAGACAGAATAACAACAACAAAATCCAGAAAAATGCATGTCAAAAATGTTATAAATTGATTTGTATTTTAATGAGGGAAATAAGTATTTGACCCCTCTGCAAAACATGACTTAGTACTTGGTGGCAAAACCCTTGTTGGCAATCACAGAGGTCAGACGTTTCTTGTAGTTGGCCACCAGGTTTGCACACATCTCAGGAGGGATTTTGTCCCACTCCTCTTTGCAGATCTTCTCCAAGTCATTAAGGTTTTGAGGCTGACGTTTGGCAACTCGAATCATCAGCTCCCTCCACAGATTTTCTATGGGATTAAGGTCTGGAGACTGGCTAGGCCACTCCAGGACCTTAATGTGCTTCTTCTTGAGCCACTCCTTTGTTGCCTTGGCCGTGTGTTTTGGGTCATTGTCATGCTGGAATACCCATCCACAACCCATTTTCAATGCCCTGGCTGAGGGAAGGAGGTTCTCACCCAAGATTTCACGGTACATGGCCCCGTCCATCGTCCCTTTGATGCGATGAAGTTGTCCTGTCCCCCAAAGCATAATGTTTCCACCTCCATGTTTGACGGTGGGGACGGTGTTCTTGGGGTCATAGGCAGCATTCCTCCTCCTCCAAACACGGCGAGTTGAGTTGATGCCAAAGAGCTCCATTTTGGTCTCATCTGACCACAACACTTTCACCCAGTTCTCCTCTGAATCATTCAGATGTTCATTGGCAAACTTCAGACGGGCATGTATATGTGCTTTCTTGAGCAGGGGGACCTTGCGGGCACTGCAGGATTTCAGTCCTTCACGGCGTAGTGTGTTACCAATTGTTTTCTTGGTGACTATGGTCCCAGCTGCCTTGAGATCATTGACAAGATCCTCCTGTGTAGTTCTGGGCTGATTCCTCACGGTTCTCATCATCACTGCAACTCCACGAGGTGAGATCTTGCATGGAGCCCCAGGCCAAGGGAGATTGACAGTTATTTTGTGTTTCTTCCATTTGCGAATAATCGCACCAACTGTTGTCACCTTCTCACCAAGCTGCTTGGCGATGGTCTTGTAGCCCATTCCAGCCTTGTGTAGGTCTACAATCTTGTCCCTGACATCCTTGGAGAGCTCTTTGGTCTTGGCCATGGTGGAGAGTTTGGAATCTGATTGATTGATTGCTTCTGTGGACAGGTGTCTTTTATACAGGTAACAAACTGAGATTAGGAGCACTCCCTTTAAGAGTGTGCTCCTAATCTCAGCTCATTACCTGAATAAAAGACACCTGGGAGCCAGAAATCTTTCTGATTGAGAGGGGGTCAAATACTTATTTCTCTCATTAAAATGCAAATCAATTTATAACATTTTTGACATGCGTTTTTCTGGATGTTTTTGTTGTTATTCTGTCTCTCACTGTTCAAATAAACCTACCATTAAAATTATAGACTGATCATTTCTTTGTCAGTGGGCAAACGTACAAAATCAGCAGGGGATCAAATACTTTTTTCCCTCACTGTACTTTGTGCATGACATAAGTAATTTTTCGAACAATTGTTTACAGACAGATTATTTCACTTATAATTCACTGTATCACAATTCCAGTGGGTCAGAAGTTTACATACACTAAGTTGACTGTGCCTTTAAACAGCTTGGGAAATTGAAAATGATGTCATGGCTTTAGAAGCTTCTGATAGGCTAATTGACATCATTTGAGTCAGTTGGAGGTGTACCTGTGGATGTATTTCAAGGCCTACCTTCAAACGCAGTGCCTCTTTTCTTGACATCATGGGAAAATGAAAAGAAATCAGCCAAGACCTCAGAAAGTAAAACCTCCACAAGTCTGGTTCATCCTTGGGAGCAATTTCCAAATGCCTGAAGGTACCACGTTTATCTGTACAAACAATAGTACGCAAGTATAAACACCATGGGACCATGCAGCCGTCATACCACTCAGGAAGGAGACGCGTTCTGTCTCCTAGAGATGAACGTACTTTGGTGCGAAAAGTGCAAATCAATCCCAGAACAACAGCAAAGGACCTTGTGAAGATGCTGGAGGAAATAGGTACAAAAGTATCTATATCACAGTAAAATGAGTCCTATATCGACATAACCTGAAAGGCCGCTCAGCAAGGAAGAAGCCACTGCTCCAAAACCGCCATAAAAAAGCCAGACTACGGTTTGCAATTGCACATGGGGACAAAGATCGTACTTTTTGGAGAACAGTCCTCTGGTCTGATGAAACAAAAATAGATCTGTTTGGCCATGATGACCATTGTTATGTTTGGAGGAAAAAGGGGGTTGCTTGCAAGGTGAAGAACACCATCCCAACCATGAAGCACGGGGGTGGCAGCATCATGCTTTGGGGGTGCTTTGCTGCAGGAGGGACTGGTGCACTTCACAAAATAGATGGCATCATGAGGAAGGAAAATTATGTGGATATATTGAAGCAACATCTCAAGACATCAGTCAGGAAGTTAAAGCTTGGTCGCAAATGGGTCTTCCAAATGGACAATGACCCCAAGCATACTTCCAAAGTTGTGGCAAAATGGCTTAAGGACAACAAAGTCAAGGTATTGGAGTGGCCATCACAAAGCCCTGACCTCAATCCTATAGAAAATGTGTGGGCAGAACTGAAAAAGCGTGTGCGAGCAAGGAGGCCTACAAACCTGACTCAGTTACACCAGCAATATCTGGAGGAATGGGCCAAAATTCACCCAACGTATTGTGGGAAGCTTGTGGAAGGCTACCCGAAACATTTGACCCAAGTTAAACAATTTAAAGGCAATGCTACCAAATATTAATTGAGTGTATGTAAACTTCTGACCAACTGAGAATGTGATGAAAGAAATAAAAGCTTAAATAAATCATTCTCTCTGCTATTATTCTGACATTTCACATTCTTAAAATAAAGTGGTGATCCTAACTGACCTAAAACAGGGAATTCTTACAGGATTAAATGTCAGGAATTGTGAAAAACTGAGTTTAAGTGTATTTGGCTAAGGTGTATGTAAACCTCCGACTTCAACTGTACGTGTAGCGTAACGTCTCATATCGTGTATCTAGAGATCACACTGTCACGCCTCCACGGTGCAACACTCAAGACTCTACAGCTTCTATGCTAAGTGCCTTATACAGGTGTGATCTCAGCCAATGGGAGATGAACCAAGGAGTGGTTCCACAACGACATTACACTGACCAGGCTTAACAGTTTTACTAGCAATATCATACAGTATCGACAAATAAGGACAGTTAACAATGATTTACATCTTATCACAAGGCTAACATAGGCCTACATAATGATACCATACACAGGTTAGTTTGGTATAGTTGTACATGGTGCTAGGAGCAGTGATGCATTACATTATCATGACAGGCTGTTTTACATACAATTCCTGTGTGTTATATCTCAATGACATGCTTTGATGAGAGAATACTTCCATACTGTCAAACAAGAGAGTGATTTACTGTATCACCATCAGGAAACAAAGTCAACTGTAACTTAGCACAATGGTAAAACAAGAAGAGTATGGTAAGAGTGGTCAAAAACAATTGTGAGACTTTTTTTTTAAGAAATAGGATTGTTGGACAATCCTAAAACGTAACAGGTAGATGAAAAGTCAAGTATTGCACATGTCTAATAGAGATTTTTATAAAAATGCTGTATTTTACATGAGGTTTTCCCAGTGTCTTAATCATGTCCCATGTTCCAGGGTTATTAGATTCTCCCTCTGGCGTGTTCCTTTAACACTCTTTATTATGGTTCAGATGAAAGCGGAGCAGCTGTATCTATGGGCCATTTTACACCCACACACGGTCACCAGAGTGAAAGCAATGTGCGCTGTGACGTGCCCTTTGTTTCCCAAGTTATTTTTGCATAGCCGCCAGTTATTCCTCAGGACCCTTCAATGCATCTAATTTAATGCATCTAGTTTCAGCGTAATTTGTCAACGTATTGTGACGTGGAATCTACGTGGAAAATACATTGGATTTGCAAAATGTCATCAACATAAACTGTTGTTTTAAGGGTGAAATCTCAACCATAGGATTATGTCATCATGGTAACCAATTTTCAACTTAGACAAACCTTGTATAAAATATGTTGAATTTTTACCTTTGAATCAATGTCAGATTTTCAAGTTGTATCCACTATCAGAAAATAAACTATAGGTTGGGCAGCATCTTCATTTGGTCTCCCATCCAGGGTAAGTCAAAGTTAAAAAATATGACTAAATTAAATCAAACTTTATTTAAAGTGCATTTAAAGTTTGATTTGATTTTGCCCTATTCTTTAACTTAGATTTTTGGTTGAGATGGAGATATGAATCCAACATAGTTATTATTGAAATTAACCAAAGCTTGAAACCCCTAGGCGTGTATGTACAGTGAGGGAAAAAGGTATCTGATCCCCTGCTGTTTTTGTACGTTTGCCCACTGACAAAGAAAGGATCAGTCTATAATTTTAATGGTAGGTTTATTTGAGCAGTGAGAGACAGAATAACAACAAAAAAATCCAGAAAAACGCATGTCAAAAATGTTATAAATTGATTTGCATTTTAATGAGAGAAATAAGTATTTGACCCCCTCTCAATCAGAAAGATTTCTGGCTCCCAGGTGTCTTTTATACAGGTAACGAGCTGAGATTAGGAGCACACTCTTAAAGGGAGTGCTCCTAATCTCAGTTTGTTACCTGTATAAAAGCCACCTGTCCACAGAAGCAGTCAATCAATCAGATTCCAAACTCTCCACCATGGCCAAGACCAAAGAGCTCTCCAAGGATGTCAGGGACAAGATTGTAGACCTACACAAGGCAGGAATGGGCTACAAGACCATCGCCAAGCAGCTTGGTGAGAAGGTGACAACAGTTGGTGCGATTATTCGCAAATGGAAGAAACACAAAATAACTGTCAATCTCCCTCGGCCTGGGGCTCCATGCAAGATCTCACCTCGTGGAGTTGCAATGATCATGAGAACGGTGAGGAATCAGCCCAGAACTACACGGGAGGATCTTGTCAATGATCTCAAGGCAGCTGGGACCATAGTCACCAAGAAAACAATTGGTAACACACTACGCCGTGAAGGACTGAAATCCTGCAGCGCCCGCAAGGTCCCCCTGCTCAAGAAAGCACATATACATGCCCGTCTGAAGTTTGCCAATGAACATCTGAATGATTCAGAGGAGAACTGGGTGAAAGTGTTGTGGTCAGATGAGACCAAAATGGAGCTCTTTGGCATCAACTCAACTCGCCGTGTTTGGAGGAGGAGGAATGCTGCCTATGACCCCAAGAACACCGTCCCCACCGTCAAACATGGAGGTGGAAATATTATACTTTGGGGGTGTTTTTCTGCTAAGGGGACAGGACCCCTTCACCACATCAAAGGGACGATGGACTGGGCCATGTACCGTCAAATCTTGGGTGAGAACCTCCTTCCCTCAGCCAGGGCATTGAAAATGGGTCGTGGATGGGTATTCCAGCATGACAATGACCCAAAACACACGGCCAAGGCAACAAAGGAGTGGCTCAAGAAGAGGCACATTAAGGTCCTGGAGTGGCCTAGCCAGTCTCCAGACCTTAATCCCATAGAAAATCTGTGGAGGGAGTTGATGGTTCGAGTTGCCAAACGTCAGCTTCGAAACCTTAATGACTTGGAGAAGATCTGCAAAGAGGAGTGGGACAAAATCCCTCCTGAGATGTGTGCAAACCTGGTGGCCAACTACAAGAAACGTCTGACCTCTGTGATTGCCAACAAGGGTTTTGCCACCAAGTACTAAGTCATGTTTTGCAGAGGGGTCAAATACTTATTTCCCTCATTAAAATGCAAATCAATTTATAATTAGTTTTTGTTGTTATTCTGTCTCTCACTGTTCAAATAAACCTACCATTTAAATTATAGACTGATAATTTCTTTGTCAGTGGGCAAACGTACAAAATCAGCAGGGGATCAAATACTTTTTTCCCTCACTGTATTGTCTATTATTAGTTGAATCCTGGGCTGAATTGAAACAATAGCTGTGGATGACTTCACAAATGTTATATTGGCCAAAATAGTATCATTGATTATATTTGACTTATAAAGCATGGCTATATTTCATTTGCTCTGTTAAACCTACCATTTGGAATAACTTTGATAGCTGCAGTGAATCTATTTAGTTAGTAAGTGGAGATCTCGCAATAATCATTCTCAAGATAGCACGTTGGTAGTAGTCAGTGACAAATATCAAATCAAATCCAACATATCAATTATTAATTTGTAGACAAACTGGATATTGAATTGTGTTTGGATGTTAACACCACCAAATATCAACATTTGAAGGAGATGTACCGTATCTTCTGCTTGGATAGTTCCATCTTTGCCACTGACTTACAGTAGTCTGGCTTTAATTCCAGTTTGTCTACAAATGAATAATTCATATGTTGGATTCACGTCTCCATCTCAACCAAAAATATTAGTTAAAGAATATGACAAAATCAAATCAAAGCAAATTTTAAATGCACTTGAAATACATTTTGATTTGATTTAGTCCTATTCTTTAACTTAGATTTTTGGTTGAGATGGAGATGTGAATCCAACATATCAATTATTAATTTGTAGACAAACTGGACTAAGTCAGTGCGCAGACGATACTCCTTGATATCTTAATATTTGGTTCTGTTGACAACCAAACACAATTCAATATCACTTTTGCAATACAGAATTAATACCCTATTAACAGCCTATTAACTTGTCGACAAGTTAATAAATTATATGTTGTATTCACGTCTCCAACTAAACCAAAAATAAAAGTGTATATTTTGTATTATTTAATTTGTATTCACATCAAATACAAACATACACATTATGAACAACATCTTACAGACTCACAACGACTCTCCATATTTTTCCATTGGATTGTGGTTGTGCTTTTAGATGGTTGCAGGCATAGTGATAACACATTGACAATTCAAAAAAACGTATTGCTGTCTCAACCAAATATTACCCAATTATCCATGTTGAAATGACATGGTGTGCCCAGTAGGGTATCTCTCTCTTATGTCTCTCAGATAACTCTCTTAACTATGTCTGTTTGTGTGGATCTGTTTCTGTGCCTGGATCTGTCTCTGTGCCTGGATCTGTTTCTGTGCCTGGATCTGCCTCTGCATGTCTTTTCTATATTTCTATGTCTGTTTTTGTGACTGAATATGTCTGTTCTGTACCCCTTTCTCAAACCTCGATTTCCAGCTTTCAATACAAGACTTGGGAACTATAGCAACGCATGAATGATATTTTTCAGTCTGTCTCCTTTTCTGTGCATCTCTATGTCCAAATTGGTCTCTGGTATTCTGTCTCTGACTCACAATCTCTCTCTCTCTCTCTCTCTCTCTCTCTCTCTCTCTCTCTCTCTCTCTCTCTCTCTCTCTCTCTCTCTCTCTCTCGCTCTCTCTCTCTCTCTCTCTCTCTCTGTCTCTGTCTCTGTCTCTGTCTCTGCAGCTGGTCCTGGCAGAGAGCTCCCACTCTGATGGGGGGTCCCAGTGTACAGAGAGCCACCCAGAGCTGCCACCCCCCCTGGAGAGGACAGGGGGCATCGGTGACTCCCGGCCACCCTCCTTCCAGTGAGTACACTGCTCTGGCTGCATATGTATCCTACTGCACATAAACACCATGCGCACATCATTACACACCCAAGTACACACAAACATGCACACACACACCATGTGACCTTTCTAATTCACCACAAGCCATATGCTAATCAGAATCTGGAGAGCTCATCACAGAGATTCAACCCACACGGGGGCCGAGCCGAGCGCATATGGGAGGTGGAGGTGTGTGTGTGTTTGTGGGTTCTTCTGTGTGTGTAGGTGTGTATGTGTGCCAGGGTTCATGCTAGCTAACTCTCACTTACTGCTCACCAATGAAGTGACTGCCCACCCATCTGTGCGGTAACACGGTAGTTTGCTTATCTATGTAGCTAGCTAAGCGTCCTCATGAAGAATACGCACCCTGAGCGACTCCAGAAATAGCTATGATAGGGTAAACATCTTCAGGGAGAGACTGCTGCTATTCAATGCCTCCCATTGTGTAGAGCCACTAAAAGCACCCATCCAGAGCCATACTGCAGGTCATTGTCAATAAAGAGATATGAGGCCAGACAATGTGTGGTGTTGTTACATAGCTGGGTTAAACGTTTAGAAGCCAGACCCTGCTTCTCAAAGCTTGTTTGACCCCAATGCAAGCACTAGACTTTGACTTCAAACAGACTGATGACAGATTCTCACTGCACTTGTTAAAGGAAGCCCCCAAAGCTAAATTTAGCATGACAGGCTGTGGGCCCGTAGGCTGGGGCTGTTGCCATTATAGTACAGCAGTGTTTTAGCTACTGCAGGGGTCTGTATTGAGAGCATGCAATCTGTCATGTTCCAGTATCTCTTTATCCACTGTTTGACATCGTGGCTCTTTCTTGTCCTCTGCTGGCTGCAGCTCCCTGCTGCTTGGCTGTCAGCCTGCCTGATGATTGTATTGTTCTGGCCTCCGCTCTTCCTGCTGCCACCTTGTGGTCAAACATAGACATGTCTGTCGTCAGCTCCCTCACCACCACATGGTTGTCACTGGTGGTAAAGGGATAGAGAGAGAGAGAGATAGGATAGAGAGATATATACGAGAGAGAGAAGAGACGAGAGATGGAGAGATTGAAGTAAGATCGATCTATAGAGAGAGCATTAGTTTTTTAGAGAGAAGGTAGTAGCGAGAGAGCGATAGAGCGACGAGAGAGAGAGGATTGAGAGAGAAGGCAAGAGAGGGTTGCGAGAGGACAGAGAGCGAAAAAGAGAGCAACATAAGAGAAGAAGAGAGGGAGAGAGAAGAGAGGACGAGACCAAGAGCGAGAGACGAAAAGCCGCGAGAACAGCGAGAAAGAGGAGAAGAGAACAAACACCCCCGCGAGACCGAGCTAGATAACTCTAGTCGAGAGCTCTGCGAGAGAGAGAGAGAGAGGAGCGGAGGGTAAGAGAGCTCTCTACGAGGATCTTCTCTCGTCTCTCTCTCTCTCTCTCTCGTCGCTCTCTCATCTCTCTCTCTATGCTCTAGACCTCTCTCTCTCTACCCTCTCTCCTCTCTCTCTACCTCTCTCTCTCTACCTCTCTCTCTCGCTACCTCTCTCTCTACCTCTCCCTCTCTTGCAGCCAGCCAGACAGGCAGTCATTTTTCTCTGGTCATTAGTAGGCTTTTGGTGAATTCCCCATAGTGAGCTTCTGTCATTCTCTTCACCTCAGCCTCATTCTGGAAATAGCCAGTATTTGGGCTGAGTGTGGTGCAGAGCGGGCAGAATTGATGTGCTTCTGCCTGGTAAATCCTGATTAGCAGACAGGCATTAAAAGCACCCATCTTTGTCTCCCAACCTAGTCCCCCTCCCTTGGTAATCTCACACAGGATCAGCCAACACAGGCGATCAGCCTACCCCCTGCCAGGTGTCTCTTACCCTGCTGCCCTGAGGCTAAAGCCTCTCACCCCCTCTGATAGAATAACATGCCCTCCAGCATATCCCATCTAGCCCTGTACATGTCTCAGCTCAGCCCACACCTGCTCTACCCGTCCACCATACACACACACACACACACCACCCGGCCACAGGCACCATCTGGGCTTTCAGTGGCCCTCCTCATTAGTATCAAGCAGCTCTGGACAGAACGCATCCATCTCCTCTCAGGGTATCTGGTCATTAATGACACTTAGTGAAACACACATCACATACCACACACACAATAAGACATATCTCAGGCTAGGGGGACTGAATCTGAAACAGTGTCATCATTTGAGATGAATCCCTGTGAGGTTCTCCTGACTGTGTACAGATCATGCCAGACAGAAGTGCGTTGTACTTATTGAACTGAGGACAATGCAAGAGATTTGGAGACATGGTATGCAATTATGAAGGTATTTTGTGTGTGTTTCATTGTGGATCTAAATAAACTGTTTAAATGTGTGTATTTCAGTGCCAACGCAGTAAGCAGTCGGGATGGCCTGGACACGGAGACGGGTACAGAGTCCCTCCTGAGCCACCGTAGGGAGAGGGAGAGAGAACGCGCACGGAGGAGAGCACGAGAGACTGAAAGTGAGGAACAATACACACATTATTGGGAGAACTACCTAAGTACAGTACACAAATCACAACATTATTACACATCATTGTATCAATATACCACTCTGCTGACATTGTTCACTCATATCCCGAATGGGTGGACAGTAAACAATGTCTAAGACAAATCAGAGGGTTCACAGAGTGTAGAATTGTGTGAGAACAATAAAAACATAGATCTTTTGGTGGCAGGTAAGTGGAATACATTGACCAAGATTGCTTGTGGCGCTGTCTGTCTTTCCCAACAACATATCTTGTGTTACCTACAGTACCAGTCAAAAGTTTGGACACACCTACTCATTCAAGGGTTTTTCTTTATTTTTACTATTTTCTACATTGTAGAATAATAGTAAAGACATCAAAACTATGAAATAACACATATGGAATCATGTAGTAACCAAAGAAGTGTTAAACAAATCAAAATATATTTTATATTTGAGTCACCCTTTGCCTTGATGACAGCTTTGCACACTCTTGGCATTCTCTCAACCAGCTTCATGAGGAATGCTTTTCCAACAGTCGTGATGGAAACAATTTTTTAAATGCAGACAGATCATTTGTTCATTTGACATGATGGGATCTTTTTGTGTCTGTAAAATTAATTAGGTGCGAAATGGTGGTGGAAATGTCTTTATGCACAAATATTGATATAATAACCATCATATCGAAGTAAACTTGGAGTCACGCGATGACATGTTGTGTGGTCCTCCCACTACGACTTGGGAAACCATGCAGTTTTTTAGGTTACAGATGAAATAAATTATTATGAAACTTCACAGGGTGGTGAAAGTGCACGGAATGAGCTTGATGGTCCTTTCCAATAAATATGGAGGGTCTTATTCTGGTGACATGATGATCGATGCTTGACTGCTGTTTGACAAATACAAATATTCTTCGCTCTTATCCATAATAATCTCATCATGTAGACTAACCTACTCACACAGCCTACCCACACAGCCTACCCACACAGCCTACCCACACAGCCTACCCACACAGCCTACTCACACAACCTACCCACACAGCCTACCCACACAGCCTACCCACACAGCCTACCCACACAGCCTACCCACACAGCCTACTCACACAACCTACCCACACAGCCAACTCACACAGCCTACTCACACAGCCTACCCACACAGCCTACTCACACAGCCTACCCACACAGCCTACCCACACAGCCTACTCACACAGCCTACTCACACAGCCTACCCACACAGCCTACTCACACAGCCTACCCACACAGCCTACTCACACAGCCTACCCACACAGCCTACCCACACAGCCTACTCACACAGCCTACCCACACAGCCTACTCACACAGCCTACCCACACAGCCTACCCACACAGCCTACCCACACAGCCTACTCACACAGCCTACCCACACAGCCTACCCACACAGCCTACTCACACAGCCTACCCACACAGCCTACCCACACTGTATCTGCCAGCTGTTAGGTAGAGCACATGTGCCAAGACCAGAGTAGGCACATTTGCTATTTAACGCAACAGTTTTTGTGACAAAGCTATCGGTAGAGTTGAAAATGTGATGGAAACACAACTTAAGCGAAAAAGTACATTTTGTGTGCACTACTCCACAACAACTCTGTTTGGTGGAAACACCACTGTTGGGAAATGCTCATATTTTTTAAATGCGGATTTTAGAATATTCACATGAAAATGTGTCGCCACTTGGATGGAAACCTAGCTACAGTCATGGAATTTTTTTGGCACGGAGCTCAGTGGAGAGGAGGAAGGCTTCCTCTCTCTATCCTCCTTCAGGGACATTCCTCTCATCACACCATTCTATTGTCCAGAGAGTAACTAAGCACATGACATATCTACTCTCTTTCTAGACTCACAATGAATTTTAGCAGTGTAGCGCTTTGAGAAATACAGGTGTGTTTAGCAGCAAAGAGTGAAAAAACAGTGACCAGATTTAAGATGGCACTTTGGACAATTGGTATATTATGAGCAAGCCTGATTCTTCCAATGATAAAAGTCACTCAATCTCACTCAACCCTTATTCCTGTTTAAACACTACTCCTGGATCTGGTTCAACAGTGTGATGATATTGGGGTCTATATTTTCCATTCAACATAAGGTGAAGGCTTTCTCTCTACTGCAAAGCGTCAGCTTCCAGTCCCTGCTGTCCCTCTGTTTCTCCTCTATCCATGCCCAGAGACAGTCCTTTATCTCATCACTCCATCTCTTCCTCCACAGATCTGCTGTTCACAGCAAGCCTGGCTGTGTGGATCCTGCAGCTCCAGGCTCATTAACCAAATAGTCATTAATTTATGTGGCTTAATTAGGAGGAGCAGGATAAAGCATCAGGCTGGTTGGTGCTGTAGAGAAGAGAGAGTTGTAATGTGTGTGTCATACAGGAGCATCTGTGTGTGTTTGTGTATGTGTGTGTGTACCTGTTGTCCTACAGGGAGACAAACTACAGAACTGGAATCATGTAACCTATCTCTTCTCTCACTACAGCCTTTGTTTTTATAGTCACTCTCTTAAATTTGTATTTGATAAACAGAAAATATGGCTGTGTGTCATGTACCTATGCCCTTCTCTAGAAATAGCAGCTGGTAGTAGCCCCTATGTTGAAGGAGTAATAATCTCTCTCTCTCCCTCTCTCTCTCTCTCTCTCTCTCTCTCTCTCTCTCTCTCTCTCTCTCTCTCTCTCTCTCTCTCTCTCTCTCTCTCTCTCTCTCTCTCTCTCTTCTCTCTCTTCTCTCTTCTCTCTTCTCTCTTCTCTCTCACCCCTCCCTCCCCTCCCGCCCCTCCCTACATCTGGTTTCCAGCCAGCCTGCCTGCTAGTTAGTTAGTGCTAATTAAATGAGTGTCAGGGAACAGGGCATGTCCCTCTTGGTGAACACACTGCTTCATGGCTCATAAAAGCTGCCCTACACTGCTCAATATAATCCAATTCAATTAGGCTTTATTTGTTTAGGGCTCTTTATACAATGTCATGGTTGCCACTCTATCTGTGTCCTTGACTTAAAGACCCAGGCCCATGCAGCAACGTGTAACGTTATCCTGCCTGGCCCTGCAGCGGTAGAATAGCAGGAATTCCCCTCTTTCATTAAGTGCCACTGTGTGAATTCAGTGAGCAGAGCAGGGTGAATCAAAGTGTTTTAACAGAGGTAAACATATCCCTTGTTCTCTCGTTTCTGGCTGTAGGTATGTGAGAATGAATAGATGAATAATGCAGTGTTTGACAGGTAGAGGAGTGGACATAGCTATAGGGCCCGCAGGATACTGTGGAGGTATGTGAGAGGATCTGTACAGGCATTTTAGCTCTGCTACCTGCACTGGGAGAGGAGGGGGGTAGGAGGTGAACTGACATCCCTGACTGTCTGCCTGGCTATATCACGCTATGGCTTTGGCAGGACTATTTTCACAACTACAATAAGTGTATTGATTATGGAATAGTCTTACTATTCACTGTATAATAGGCTAATCAAAATGTAGCCAACATTAATGCAGTATATTTCTGTTCAATAAAAAAGTAATGGAGGTCAAATGATAAATTCCTATATTTTGTACATATTTGGAACCTAGTGTTTTGCAACATTTTTCGTTTAAACAGTAGCTATTATGGGAAGTGCATCGTGATGAAGGCTTTGGCGTTAATGACCTGATAGCACAATCACCTGTGGCGGTCAGAGATATGCATGTGCATAATATCAATTCTCATCACTTGCTGGGCTCTCTCTAAACGCTGTGGAATGCATTTCTCTGGTAGGTCAAAGAGGGATTATCAGACATTCTATAGTCGCGCGCCATGGGATGGGAGTGCGGGGTAATATTTTTGCGCGCTCCCAATTTCTTCAGTGTCTCAGTGCGTCGCGAGAGAGCACTGTCTCTCTGATCTGACTCCCGCGGTTGAGGTAAGACAATTGAATTTGCTAATGGAATCGCTGTATAGGGTAGTTTGTAGTCCACTGGCAGTTAAATTATAGATACATGTGATGTAATTAAATAATAGCATTTGTTTTATTTTAGGTTAATGCAGGTTATTGTGAGTCTAACCTATTCAGCAATAAATTGAAAGGCCATTTTATATTTTGCAATACTGGTAAAGAAATGCATTCTACTAGATATGGCTGAACGTGAAAGGAACTATTGTCTTTCAGCTGCAGAAAAAATATATAGATGGGCTACTGTTTATGCTTAAGAAAGCGTTTTTTCCTGCCTGTTGTAGACTACCTTCGATTGAAGAGGTCGCCAATTCTATTCATGGGAGAAGTGAATGTATTTTTGGAGAACCTAATATATTCGTTTTCTCTAGTTATAGCCTACTTAATCACCTTATCATACCATAGGCTAATACCTTAGTTTTAGCTGACATATGACATTCCCATCCCTCATGATAATTACTTTAAGGCTCAAAAAGAATAATGAAATTGGAATCCAAATCCAATCTGACTAATGGAGGATAAAAGGCAGCTTTGGCACTAAAGGAGTTATAGTTCACAGCACAATGTCCCCAAACAGAATATGTTTTTATTATTGTTTGTCAAGTATTGTAGCAGATAAATCAGGTGTAGGCCTACCACAATGCCCAGGACTGTAAGAATTTGAATAAGTCAATATACCTTGCTGTGAGACACCTGAGAAAAACAGAGAAAATATTATATTGAGAGATTGTGTTATCGCTCCTCAATTCACAGTACCATTCTCCACATTTACTCTTTTCTTTTGGTCTTTTTTCACTGCCTTCGTTGTAGATAAGGACTGGAGTCTGACTGCCAGCAGCCTGTCATTGGGCAGAGACCCTGGTCCCGCTCAAAGGGGTTGAGAGAGAGAAGCACAGGGACGGACCACTACACAGACACCAGGCAGTCTGAGTTTTGCACCTGAGACAAAACTCTGCTGTTTAGTTGTGTTTGTGTGTGTGTGTGGTTACGTATCCTGGGAGGAAGAGGATTGTACAGCTCTTTTGAGAGTCAGAGTGTATGTGTGTGCACCCTTTGGGCTCAGTCAGTAATGGGCACCACCACACTGTTGGAATGTTTTGGTCGCTCGCGGAGAACGAAGGGTCAGTCACGCCCTCGGCGCTTTGCCAGAGCCTTCCAGCCAATCCGCTGTCACCCTGCTGAGACAGGACTCCACCCCTGCCACTGTACGTATGTATGGGTGTGGTGGAGAGGTGTTAGGAATTTGGGACACAGATGTTATTGTTTTGGTTGATCACTGTCTCTTATTAAACATGAATAAAACATAATTTCACTATACACTGACTGCACAATTCAAAATTGTCATTCTGTAAGTCCATTCAGTGAAAATGTGTTTGTCATAAAAAACGTCATACAGGTACTTTGCCATGTTTATAAGAGAACTTCCCTCTGTGATAGTGAATCCTCTGTGTAATAGTGAATCAGTAGTAAAAGGCCTCCTTGGCCCAATTTAAATGTTACGTTTTAGCAGACACTCTTATCCAGAGTGACTTAAGGGAGCAATTAGAGTGCCTTGCTCAAGGGCACATCCACAGAGTTTTCACATTGTCGGCTCAGGGATTTGAACCAGCGACCTTCTGGTTATTGGCCCAACGCTCTTAACTGCTAGGCTACCTGCCGCCTCAATTTGTTTCTGATATCCTCTTGGGTTGATGATATTTCAAGCTTTTTCAGAAGCCAAGTGCACTGGTTGGTAATCCCTCGCCTCTTTCTCTTTCTCTGGTGCTTTCTACACTGGCCTTTCACCTCTTCTAAATCCCTGTCTTGATTTCCCATTAGATGTCCTGATCCTATCCTTAATACTAACATTTCCTCTTGGTGGTTTCCTATAACGTTTGGGAAATGTTTCTCTCAGTTTTTATATCATCTCTCCAACTCATTCAGCTCTGAGTTATGTCATGATGTGAACTTGTATCAAAGTGTTGATATCTGACCTGCTGTTGTTGTTGTGTGGTTCTCTCCTCCCCAGTCCCTCGAATCAATGGCCACTCTAAGTCGGAGCGCACAGCGAGGGACTCTGCCATGGGCTGTGACAGCGCCTCAGTGATGAGCAGTGAACTGGAGTCCAGCTCCTTCATCGACAGTGAGGAGGATGATGACGGCAGCAGGTAGATGGTCTTTCTCTCTCTCCCTCTCTCTCTGTCTTTTCTCTCATTTCCCTCTTTTCATCAGTGGTTCTTTACTGAAATCAACAAATCACCCCTCTTTTCCTGCCCTGCGGCTGACCCTGTGCTGCTCCCCAGTCGTGTATGTTGTGTGGTGGGGCTGGGTACTGTGACAGCAAAAGTCACCAAATTTCCATTGTCTCTGTATAATGGACTAATAAAGATGACATTGTATTGTATTGTATCTCAGACTCAGCAGCTCCACAGAGCAGAGCTCATCCTCTCAGCTAATGCGCAGACACAAACGCCGCAGACGGAGGCACAAAGTGGCCAAAATAGACCGGGTGAGCTCACCTTGAACACTGGACTGTTGCACATACGTGTGTGAGTGAGAAAGGGAACAGGAATGGTTATGTGAGTATGTGCCTGACACACTAAGTTTCTCCCTCTCTCTTTTCCAGTCTTCGTCCTTCAGCAGCATCACAGATTCCACTATGAGCCTCAACATCATCACTGTCACACTCAACATGGGTAAGGACCTCCCCTTTTTGTCTCATTTCCTTTCATGTATGCCTTTCTTTATAACACTCTTTCTTTGTATACAACTATTTTTGATACAAATATCATCAGTGTACTCGGTCTTTAAACACCATATAGTATTTAGGCTACATGAGACTTTGAACTGACATCCTCTCTCCCCTCTCTCTTACAGAGAAGTATAACTTCCTGGGTATCAGTATTGTGGGGCAGAGTAACGACCGGGGGGATGGGGGGATCTACATCGGCTCCATCATGAAGGGAGGAGCTGTAGCTGCAGACGGAAGGATAGAACCTGGAGACATGCTCCTACAGGTACATTACACTACAAATTAGCCTTACATTCATTTTCTATGAAGTATTATAAGCTAAAAGTACATTATTGTGAATTATTTTTTGGGTTCTATTTTTATGGTTCGTTGAGGGAAAGCAAATGTGCACACATCTGTTTCAGATGTCCAGTGAGCAAATTGCTTTGTGATTATTATAGCATTGCCAGTGATGATCGGATACTGTGTGTTTCAAACAATGTTTATATTAAGTTCTAACAATAAGGTAAAGGGGAAACTGGAAACTGACCTATTTAAACTATGACCTATTTAAACTATGACCTATTTACAACCATTTGTAATGGTCCTTGTCACCTTCCTTCCCGTAGCCCTCTATCCTACATGTTGCCTCTCCTTTTCCTTCCTGTTGTTAGTTCTCTTTGATGTCTGTATGTCTGGACTCACACTAACCTCTGGCCACTCCTCCTCTTGTACACACAAGGTGGCTGATCACTAGTTATTGTAGATCCAGCATGTCTCTTTTAACCCCATTTATTGTAGATCCAGCATGTCTCTTTTAACCCCATTTATTGTAGATCCAGCATGTCTCTTTTAACCCCATTTATTGTAGATCCAGCATGTCTCTTAATCACATTTATTGTAGATCCAGCATCTCTCTTTTAACCCCATTTATTGTAGATCCAGCATGTCTCTTTTAACCCCATTTATTGTAGATCCAGCATGTCTCTTTTAACCCCATTTATTGTAGATCCAGCATGTCTCTTTTAACCCCATTTATTGTAGATCCAGCATGTCTCTTTTCAACCCATACACACAGTATAAAGCTGCTTAGGATATACTAGCTTTTATATGCGTCTGAAAGCCTTACAACAGTGCCTGGAGATTAACTTGTAGAGAACTGAGTCCTAAATCATTTTGTGTTTCTTTATTCGCTTGTTCGTTTTGTCAACTACTTGTTAATTTTAAACACATGATCTGTGAAAATGTATGTTAACTTTTTCGTTGTGATCCTCAGGTGAACGATGTGAACTTTGAGAACATGAGCAACGATGACGCTGTGAGGATCCTGAGAGAGATCGTCTCCAAAACAGGGTAAGAACAGGACTGTGTTACATTGCAGGATTGTTAGAGATAACCCAGAAAACATTTCAAGAGATGTTAAACTGTTGCGTATGAACACAGTCACAGGTCAGGTCAGACAGTCAAAGGATTTGACTATTGAGTAAATACAGGATTTAAAGATGAGCAATGGTAAGACTCTGGTTGTTTTAGCATATCAGCGATATGCTGACTGATTAGATTGGATAAACAGTGGTTTGACTTTCAAGCAGCTTCGGCATTATTGACTGTTGTATAATACAGACTAGTATTTCTCTCCATAATCCTTCTAGTTCAACCAAACATTTCTTCTTTTTTCCTATCGTTTCCTCTTGTTCTTTTAACTGCACAGGAGCTATAGAAGTGAGTAGAATGTATTGTAACTGACAGTCTCCCCATGTGTCCTCCAGTCCTATTAGTCTTACTGTGGCCAAGTGTTGGGACCCGTCTCCACGAAGCTACTTCACCATCCCCCGGGGTAAGACACTTACCGATGTTCCACCAACAACAGGTTATTACCACTTACAAACAGGGCTCTCAAACTCCGCTGGAAACTCACGTTTTGAAACCAAATAGTTTGTGCTTATAAGTTAGAGCAGAAGTTTGAGCACAAACTAGCAAACTCACAGTAGATGATGGAGGTTATGTGTTCTAACTGGCTGTGTGTGTGTTTGTGCAGCTGAACCAGTGAGGCCCATTGACCCTGCTGCCTGGATCTCCCACACAACCGCCCTGTCCGGACCCTACCCACACTACGGTATGACCACACTATGACCACACTCACACACAAACTACTGCAATCACTAGACATAGTTGCACTCGCACAGTCTTAGAAAGACCACATACTGAACATGTTGTCACTGACTGTCTGTGAATGTGCTGTGTCTCAACCGCCTCTCCCCTTCAGAATTTGACGACTTGCCGCTATCTGCGAGTAAGACGGACATGGCAACCATCGTCAAGGTGATGCAGCTACCTGACTCTGGTCTGGAGATCCGAGACAGGATGTGGTTGAAGATCACCATCACCAACGCTGTCATCGGTGAGAGGGACTGGGGGACGCTGACTACCACTAATACTGTATATGCCATTTAAATAGACTAAATTAAGGGTTTTATGTTGGACTTAAAACAGCAATTACATCCCTTACTGTTAGTTTAATTGTGACGCCTGTGCAATACATTTTATTGATATTGTCGGCATAACATCTACTTACATTGATTGATGTGGTGTGGTTAGTGCTATCAATATTATAGTACAATAGAATCATATGAGTGTTTGCTGTTGTAGTGCAGACTACAGTCTTCTTAACCAGTGTGTTGTTGCTGTGTCAGGTGCTGATGTGGTGGACTGGCTCTACTCGAGGGTGGAGGGCTTCAAGGACAGGAGAGATGCCAGGAAGTATGCCAGCAGTCTGCTGAAACATGGCTACCTGAGACATACTGTCAACAAGATCACCTTCTCTGAACAGTGCTACTACACCTTTGGAGACCTCTGCCAAAGTACTGTCACTGAGCCACTTTGGCAAGAATATATTATGTACTGTATATTATTATAAGATGTGTATTATACCTGTGTTAAATGTACTGTAGAGTCCAAAGTCAGTGTTTTCTTTTTACCTCATAGTAGATGTCACTAACTCTGTCTGTCTGTCTGTCTGTCTGTCTGTCTGTCTGTCTGTCTGTCTGTCTCTCTGTCTCTCTCTCTCTCTCTCTCTCTCTCTCTCTCTCTCTCTCTCTCTCTCTCTCTCTCTCTCTCGCTCGCTCTCGCTCTCGCTCTCGCTCTCGCTCTCTCTCACCAGACATGGCGTCTCTCAACCTGAATGAGGGTTCCAGTGGAGGGGGCTCTGAGCAGGACACCCTGGCCCCCCTCCCTCCCCCTGCCACCAACCCATGGCCCCTGGGGGGCCAGCCGTTCCCTTGTCCCCCCTTCCCCTCCGCACTGCCAGGCTTCCCACCAGGCTACTCAGACCCCTGCCATAGTTTCCACAGTGGGAGTGCAGGCAGCCACAACAGTGAGGGTGAGTCTGCAGGTCAGGGCTACTAACACTGACATCCTTATCAATAAAAATGACTAGAAACTTTATTTGTTTTTATTTATATTTTAGAGGAATTGTCACATGACATTATGACTGTTACTATTCATGACAGCTAATGTCAACTGTTCACAAAGTATTGTATTTAAATTCCATAAGGAATGTGCCATTTCAGGTTAGCCTGTTTGGCATGCTGGGAAATTAAGTTGACGTAAGATGACATGCACACAGACTAAGGACTTTATCCACTTATGGCAGATTTTTGCTAGCATGAACATATCAAATGAGGTCACACCCTCTGATCAATATTGAATGCTCCTATGTTTGATAGCAAAATGACACATTACAGTGCTATGTTGCTGCTGCACTGTTTGTAATTGTGGCGACATAGCACTGCACTGAGGGAGAGTGGAATCAGGCTGGTATGATAATAACTAGTCAATATGGAGGATAGTTTCTCTTTTGTTTTACATTTGTCATCCTAGTGCTCTTCAGTCTGATTTCCAGCTTCTGTTCAAATCAACAAGAAATCAATCATCCAGATGTTGTTATTACATACTTTTAGTCGTCTCTTTCAAAAGGATTCCCATTGCATTCAATCCTTATTGTCCTGGAGTGTTCTGAATGGCGGAGGTTTGATACAGTAATGATACAGAGGAGGGATCAGGACTAACTATCAGTAGGACAGTTGTAGGACTGAGGGTGTGTTTACATCTCCTCTGTATCTTTTCCATAAGTTGTTTTATTCGGTTTGATCTTTTACAGAGTGTCTTGATTGACATTTGCAGTTTCTTTATTTGTCAATTCCAGTTGGGCATTTATGTGTGTGTGTGTGTGTGTGTGTGTGTGTGTGTGTGTGTGTGTGTGTGTGTGTGTGTGTGTGTGTGTGTGTGTGTGTGTGTGTGTTGTGGTGTGTGTGTGAGAGAGAGAGAGAGAGGAGAGAGAGAGGGAGCGAGAGAGAGAGATGAGAAGAGAGCGAGGAGGAGAGAGAGAGGAGGAGAGAGAGAGAGAGAGAGAGAGAGAGAGAGAGAGAGAGAGATGTTGCCTGAATACATTTTCCATGAGTAGTACAGTATCTGAGGATATTTCATTGCTCTAACTCATCGTTCAGTGAGAGAGATGTACAGATTAGGCCACAGTTGGACCAGAACAGGATGGGGGATAGACTAGACTAGAGGTAGGTAGACTGGGTTAGACAGGTTAGGCTGGGCTGGGAAGTAACAGCCATAGACTGGGTTAGACAGGTTAGGCTGGGCTGGGAGGTGACAGTATTAGACAGGTTAGGCTGGGCTGGGAGGTGACAGCACTAGACTGGGTTAGACAGGTTAGGCTGGGCTGGGAGGTGACAGCAGTAGACTGGGTTAGACAGGTTAGGCTGGGCTGGGAGGTGACAGCAGTAGACTGGGTTAGACAGGTTAGGCTGGGCTGGGAGGTGACAGCACTAGACTGGGTTAGACAGGTTAGGCTGGGCTGGGAGGTGACAGCACTAGACTGGGTTAGACAGGTTAGGCTGGGCTGGGAGGTGTGTGTAACTCTGTTGTTCCCTCTGTTTCTGCTGGGCAACGGTAGACTGATGGACCAGGTAGTCTCAGGACTCTGGGGAACCGGTAAGCTAACAGCTAACCCACTCTCTGCTACCTCTCTCCTTCTCTCTCTCCTTTTTATCTCTCTCTCTATATATATATATCTCTCTCTCGCTCTCTCTCTCTCTCTCTCTCTCTCAATCCATCACTATTAATGTTTTATCTTGCCTTCAGTCTTGCTCTTTGCGCTCTCCCCTCTCTACATCTCAGTTTCTTTCTATCTTACTCTCTCTCTTTATATATATACACTGCGTTCTCCTCATACCATAGCTTTTAAGGTTTTTGTTTCCCGTGTCTCTCCCTCTGAGTGTGTTGGTGTCCATACTGTTTCTGCTCCTGCTCCTGTGTGACTCTCGTGACCGTCTGTTCTCCCTCTCTTAACCACAGGGTTGGTTGGTCCTGTGCTGCTATAATCTCAGACAGGTGCATGATTCAGGATGATCAAATCAGGCAAAAGCTTGCACTATCATTCTCACTGATAGGGGGCAATCATGCACCACTTTACCCAGTACTGTTGGGCTCATTGCTTATTGAAAGGAGGGGAAAATGTTTGATAATGTGATAATAATTATGGTGATGTTGTACACCTGTATCAATACGATCAATGGGCTCCCGAGAGGCGCAGCGGTCTAAGGCACTGCATCTCAGTGCTTGAGGCGTCACTACAGACCACCTGGTTCGATTCCAGGCTGTATCACAACCGGCCGTGATTGGGAGTCCCATAGGGCGGCGCACAATTGGCCCAGCGTCGTCCGGGTTTGGCCGGTGTAGGCCGTCATTGTAAATAAGAATTTGTTCTTAACTGACTTGCCTAGTTAAATAAAGGAAATGGAATGCTTTTTCTTTTAAAAAATGAATCATGAAAGCACCATTTGTGTTAATATTACCAATGCAGTATGTTCCAATTTTTAAACGTGTTTTTGATGGAGGTGTATCGTTACATTTGCCTTTGACTGTTGGCAATTAAGGGCCTGATTCAATCAGATCTGCTTTAGCCGAAATCCGCATAGCTGATGTTCTGACGGTGTCTGAGGTGGAACTGTGTTAGAGCTGTCAAATCCACAACGGCTCCCGGCATTATACCTAAAGCGGACATTGCCATTGGCTGCACGGAGTCACATTGACAGAAATCCCATGAAATCTTGTCAACAACTCAATTAGGATGATAGAAATCCTCATTATTTCATTTAATTATTTTTTATTTGAGCGTCATTATTTCTATATAGCCTACACTTTCTCACTCTGAACTTGTAACGCAAGTGGGGCGGGTATGACTGCCTGAAAATGATCACAAGAGAAGCTGCTCACCGATTTTACAGCTCCAACGCAGTTACACCTACGACATCGCCAAAACATCAGCTATGTGGCTGTTGGCTATCGCCGGTTAAAGCTTACACTGATAGAATATAGGCCTAGGTCTGTAATGTGGATGAGAATTATAATGAATGTCCAACCTCCATGATTATCATAGCAATGGCAACCAATTCAGCCAACGGTTCAAAATCAGTAATAAGAAGCTGGTGAGTTGGAGCTGCTGTTGTGTGTCTGGTGTGGTTTTCCAGGTGTGTGGCTGCCAAGCTGATGTGTGTGTCCCTCTCTCCTCTCCTAGGAAGCAGAAGCAGTGGATCCAACCCCAGCGCAGGGACAGGGACAGGGAAGGGCCCTGGCCGACACTCCTCCCCACAAGAGACGGGTCACAGGTCCACATGCAGTGAAACCGAGCCACCGGGCATCCGAGGGGCGAGGCGCCCTGGCGATAGGTCCGCCAGCCAGCTGAGTCATCACAGTCATCACAGCAGCCACGCCCACTCAAGTCACAGCCACGCCCTCTCTGGTTTCAGCCACGCTCAGTCTCACAGGAGTCACTGTCACTCACAGAACAGCCACGCCCACAGCCACATATCCTTCACCTACAAACACGCCCCTTTCACCAAGCCTGGGCCCGGCTCGTGTGGCCACAGCGAGCGAAGCCACGCCTCCTCCTACGGCCCCCCCGGCTTGCCCCCCCCATACTGCCTGGCCCGGCTGGCCCCTAAGACCGTCAGCAGCAGCACCCCTCCCGGGGCCCCCCCGGTACGGGAGCTAGGAGCCGTCCCCCCTGAGCTCACGGCCAGCCGCCAGTCCTTCCAGCACGCTATGGGCAATCCCTGCGAGTTCTTTGTTGACATCATGTGACAGACAGGACAGTGCCTTTTAAAAACTTGCTGAGCACAAACAAGCCCCCCGTCCAACCGCCTGACGCTCGTCCATCCCACCTCACCCTCTCTTCTATACCCCATTTGCTACTCACTATTCCCGAGTTGAGAATGTATACACTGGTCCTCTCCCCTCCCTCTGCTGTCACAACGGTCCCTCGGATGTCGGCGCAGGGGAAGACAGGAGACAAGAGCACAACAGAACTGAAGAGAGTCCTGCTATTACAAACACACAGAGCCTCAGTGTCTGATCAGAACCCCCAGCCAGCTCTTTCGTATTGATGTGACGTGTACAATTTGTGAAATTGATGTGAGTGGTGTTCAATGTGGTGATCCTTGTGAGCTGCCACACAGTCCAGTCCTGAGAGCGTGTAGTCCTGAGAGTGTGTAGTTACTCAATGTGGAGTACAAGCACCTGCTGTTTGTTGAACCAGACGTCCAGGCCAACTGACTGGGTCTGGATCTCAATCCCCCAGACCCACCCGGACCCAGAGCTCTGGAAGAGGGAAGCCTCACTGGAGGCTCTGGACTGGGCAAACCTCCTAGCATGTCACCCTTTACACAAACTACTATTTGGCCAATCATACCAAAACTCCTGCTCTAACTGACTGACATGCTTTCTTATTCGGTATGCAGGGGGACCGTGACATATTCCAACTAGTCAAAGCTAGCCTCGGCCCATTTGACAGCCCTTGTATTTGTCCAACTAAGGGAGGCACTGTAACCAGTTGTTAGTTTAAACAATAGGCTGCTTATCTGCATGACTATCTCAACTGCTTTAAAAGGAAAAAACGTATTCATTTCGTTAAATATTCTACATTTGGGAGTTGTGTCTCTCGCCAAAGGTCTAAAGGAAGAATCCATACACTGGAGAATATTTGTGATGTTATTTATGTGATCATGATGTTGCATCGATGGTCAGTGTCATACCTTGTCTCTCTCTATGGCTGACTGACACATAGACAATCAATCAGACATTATTTCCCTCTGTGACTCAGTGGCCCGGATATGACCACTGTCCTAGCTGTGCTTTGTCGAATGCATAATCATTATTGCAGTTAATTGACTCCTGACCTCCACAACAGACTCATGTTGTGAACACATTAGAATTTTTACTGTTTGCACGTACACTATATATACAAAAGTATGTGGATACCCCTTCAAATGAGTGGATTCGGCTATTTCAGCCACACCCGTTGCTGACAGGTGAATAAAATTGAGCACACAGCCATGCAATCTCCATAGACAAACATTGGCAGTAGAATGTCCTTACTGAAGAGCTCAGTGACATTCAACATGGCACCGTCATAGGATGCCACCTTTCCAACAAGTCAGTTCGTCAAATGTCTGCCCTGCTAGAGCTGCCCCGGTCAACTGTAAGTGCTGTTATTATGAAGTGGAAACATCTAGGAGCAACAACGGCTCAGCCGCAAAGTGGTAGGCCACACAAGCTCACAGAACGGGACCACCGAGTGCTGAAGCGCATAAAGATCGTCTGTCCTCAGTTGCAACACTCTCTACCAAGTTCCTAACTGCCTCTGGAAGCAACATCAGCACCATAACTGTTCGTCTGGAGCTTCATGAAATGGGTTTCCATGGCCGAGCAGCCGCACACAAGCCTAAGATCACCATGCGCAATGCCAAGCGTCGGTTGGAGTGGTGTAAAGCTTGCTGCCATTGGACTCTGGAGCAGTGGAAATGCATTCTCTGGAGTGAGGAATCACACTTCACCATCTGGCAGTCTGACGGACAAATCTGGGTTTGGCGGATGCCAAGAAAACGCTACCTGCCCGAATGCATAGTGCCAACTGTAAAGTTTGGTGGAGGAGGAATAATGGTCTAGGACTGTTTTTCATGGTTCGGGCTAGGCCCTTTAGTTCCAGTGAAGGGAAATCTTAACGCTTCAACATACAATGACATTCTAAACGATTCTGTGCTTCCAACTTTGTGGCAACAGTTTGGGGAATGCCCTTTCCTGTTTCAGCATGACCCTTTCCTGTTTCAGCATGACAATGCCTCCTTACAGAAATGGTTTGTCGAGATCGGTGTGGAAGAACTTGACTGGCCTGCACAGAGCCCTGACCTCAACCCCATCGAACACCTTTGGGACGAATTGGAACGCAGACTGCGAGCCAGGCCTAATCGTCCAACATCAGTGCCCGACCTCACTAATGCGCTTGTGGCTGAATGGAAGCAAGTCCCCGCAGCAATGTTCCAACATCTAGTGGAAGGCCTTCCCAGAAGAGTGGAGGCTGTTATAGCAGCAAGGGGGGGACCAACTCCATATTAATGCCTATGATTTTGGAATGAGATGTTCGACGAGCAGGTGTTCACATACTTTTGGTAATGTAGTGTAGCTGCAAACAGGGTTGCAAACAGTGGCCGTCCACCACAGGTCTACTACCTGAAACAGAACTAAGCTGATCATCACCAGTTAAAGACAACAGGGTCTCTTAAAAGCAGATGGATGTCCCCCTCCTGTCATCAGTGCTAAATGGCATATTATTATTATTATTATTATTATCAGTGTTGACTGAAACAGAGATCAGAGTGATAACCAATGCTTTACACAGTGAGGTGTGCAGTTCTGTACAGTGTAGGTATTTTTCTGTGATATCACCAGATCATTTCTGATGAAATTCCAGCCCTTGATTCGAAAATCCTTTTTGTGAAACAAATTGGTTAAGCTGTGTTTAAGGCCTAAGATCAAGCGTTAACCGGCGATAGCCGACACCCTGTGCAGCCAATGGCAATGTCCACTTTAGGTATAATGTCAGGAGCCACTTGTGGATTTGACAGGTCTAACGCAGTTCCACTTCCAACGCCGCCAAACAACCGCTATGCGGATGATGGCTTAAGCAGATCTGATTACAGATTCCACGATAGAAATTTAAAGGTAGTTTCCGATTGAGTCGACATATGCGGTGTTTACCGTGAATGCAGTCTCCGCAAACGTGGGAACATTGCCTTTAAAATCCGCAACGTCTATAACCTGCAATTGGATTGAATTGCGGCCCAAGTCTATCGACAACACAGAAACGGTGTGATGCATAATACCTTTCTGTCGCAGCACTCTACTAATTATTTTAGCACTTTTTCATTCTCTCTCTTGCTCTCTCTCTCTGCCGCTTTAGTATGAAACACTGTTTGCAATCAAAGCTTTGTCTTTCGTTTAGTTTCTTTACAAAAAGAGGAATAAATTGTACATAGAAATTTATTATATATAAGAATAAAAAATATATATGTACAAAGATTTTGTCTATATTTCTTTTCTAAAAAAAAACATTGTGAACCGTGCAATGTATGTGCTGTTTGGTTGTGGATATGAGTTTTTTTTACAGAAACCAGTAAAAAGGTTGGTTTGACAACTTTTAACTGTATTACATGACGGTAAGCGCTGTACATATCTCAATGGAAGCCAATAGCCATATTAGTTGCATTTACTATATTTAACCAGCAGTAAGAGACACCCAACCATGTGAGGGATTTCTTATTACATTTTTCCTATTCCATATTAACCCATTCACGTTAACAATTTGTGAAATGTTGAATTTGTAGAATATATTTAGAGATAGAAGAAGTGGTATAAATGAGTCATGTTTTCAAATAAAAATGTAAACCTGTTCAAACAGACTAGGCCTACATTTACAGCACATCACTTGTGGATACTGTAGTGATGCGTGCCACAAGTAATATATATTTTTAAAGCCTGCGAACCCATACACATAGGCCTACACTATATACAGTGAGGGAAAAAAGTATTTGATCCCCTGCTGATTTTGTACGTTTGCCCACTGACAAAGAAATGATCAGTCTATAATTTTAATGGTAGGTTTATTTGAACAGTGAGAGACAGAATAATAACACAAAAATCCAGAAAAACGCATACATTGATTTGCATTTAAATGAGGGAAATAATTATTTGACCCCCTCTCAATTAGAAAGATTTCTGGCTCCCAGGTGTCTTTTATACAGGTAACAAGCTGAGATTAGGAGCACACTCTTACAGCTTGTTACCTGTATAAAAGACACCTGTCCACAGAAGCAATCAATCAATCTGATTCCAAACTCTCCACCATGGCCAAGACCAAAGAGCTCTCCAAGGATGTCAGGGACAAGATTGTAGACCTACACAAGGCTGGAATGGGCTACAAGACCATCGCCAAGCAGCTTGGTGAGAAGGTGACAACAGTTGGTGCGATTATTCACAAATGGAAGAAACACAAAAGAACTGTCAATCTCCCTCGGCCTGGGGCTCCATGCAAGATCTCACCTCGTGGAGTTGCAATGATCATGAGAACGGTGAGGAATCAGCCCAGAACTACACGGGAGGATCTTGTCAATGATCTCAAGGCAGCTGGGACCATAGTCACCACGAAAACAATTGGTAACACACTACGCCGTGAAGGACTGAAATCCTGCAGCGCCCGCAAGGTCCCCCTGCTCAAGAAAGCACAGATACAGGGCCGTCTGAAGTTTGCCAATTAACATCTGAATGATTCAGAAGGGAACTGGGTGAAAGTGTTGTGGTCAGATGAGACCAAAATCGAGCTCTTTGGCATCAACTCAACTCGCCGTGTTTGGAGGAGGAGGAATGCTGCCTATGACCCCAAGAACACCATCCCCACCGTCAAACATGGAGGTGGAAACATTATGCTTTGGGGGTGTTTTTCTGCTAAGGGGACAGGACAACTGCACAGCATCAAAGGGACGATGGACGGGGCCATGTACCGTCAAATCTTGGGTGAGAACCTCCTTCCCTCAGCCAGGGCATTGAAAATGGGTCGTGGATGGGTATTCCAGCATGACAATGACCCAAAACACATGGCCAAGGCATTAAGGTCCTGGAGTGGCCTAGCCAGTCTCCAGACCTTAATCCCATAGAAAATATGTGGAGGGAGCTGAAGGTTCGAGTTGCCAAACGTCAGCCTCGAAACCTTAATGACTTGGAGAAGATCTGCAAAGAGGAGTGGGACAAAA